AAATGAAGAGGACGTAAAAGGCGTCCAAGTAAAAAACTGCACGCTTCGTGGCACAACCAATGGTATTAGGATAAAAACTTTTCCTTTCAAGCCTAATGTCATTCCAATCAAAGCTTTTGGATTCCTTTTCAAGGACATTGTTATGGAATGTGTTCAAAATCCTATTATTATAGATCAAGAGTATTGTGGAGGAGGTCATTCTTGTGTGAATGGGGTAAGCATAAATATTTATCAACTATTGATATTTATCTCTTCAATTTTAAAAATTAGAAACATTATCAAAGTATATAATTAAGTAAAGTTTTATTATTAATATACTAATACCCCTAGCTCTATAATAATTTTCTTAGTTAAGGTTGGGAAAAACTACAAAGTAGTTACTTAATACAATAACAAAATTATTGAAAGAATATAAATAAAAATCAACATTACCTTATGATTTTTAACAATTAGTTAAAATGTACATTGATCATCTTAATTATGTTGTACAGCCATCCAAAATAAGGCTTAGTGATATCTTCTTCCACAATATAGGAGGATCAACAACTTCAGCTCAAGCTATTAACATCAAGTGTAGCTCTGCAGTACCATGTCAGAATGTCCATCTCCACAACATTAATTTGATTGGTTTAAAGGGACCATTGTCTGCTTCATGCATTAATGCTAAGATAAACTTCTTTGGACTACAAGTACCAGCTTTGAAGTGTTAAGTTTGATTAAATATATTTTTATATTTAATTTTTTTTATTCAATTACTTGATTTGATTGATGTTCAAGATGCCGGAGTAGAAGTTCAAATTTTAGTAATTTTGAAAAAAAAAACATATTTCCCTAGCTATATATTATCCTTCGAATTCTAATCTACAGTACAAAATCATTAATCATCCCTGTAATTGAATCGAAAAAATTTACTTGATTTAAAATCATGTATCCCTAACTAATAACACTCAATGACATAACAAATTGTCTTAATTGGTTCAAGAGGTGAGGAAGGAAACTCGTTTGATGCGTTATCCAAAGCTATTTCTTAATAAATAATAATGCAAGTTAACTTTGACTCATAACAATCCAAATTCAAGTAGATTAGATTTTATGATTATCATCATTACAATTTATAACCATTTTATCAAATTCAAACATTCCACTTGTTTTTCCAAGATTTCCAATAATGAACCTTTTACAATCAAGAATAAATGTGTATATGACTCCAATATTGATTTCAAATATTTTCAATAATAAATCTTATGCAATCAAGTATAAATGTGTATATAACTCCAATAAAGTACTGATGGTCAATTCTAGTGCAACACGTATTAAATTGCTCATATAGTCATATTGACATGAATGATGAGCAAAGTTTATAAATTCAATATATGCTCATTTCTACATATAGAAAACATCACAAAACAACCACATAGATTTTCCTTGTCATTGAGCTTATTTACAAAAAATGAGAAAAAATTTAGACAACGCAACCACTAATTTCAATAAGAATTACATATGTAAACCATACAACTTAACACAAATCGAAACCATAAATATATTAAGAATGAGCAATGCTTTTCGTACGATCAACAAATATAACAATATTAAGCATAAGACACTACATAAACCAATAACAAAATCTAGGATAATACCTTATTATATAGGATTCTAACTTTGTTCCCTTCAACTTGATTTAGGTACTTTTTTGCAATTTGCATGACCTTCAACAGCATCACTACTGGGAATCATATTATCACTTGCTGATTATAAAATTGGAAAAATGTGTATTTAGATATGTAACTGAAAAAAACAAAAGTAAAACTAAGACTTAACAAATAATTATAATATACTTGTTAATTTAAAACAAAAACACTTGAAACACACACAAAAAAAAAATCTCATATCACAATCCACTATACATTATATAACCTAGGATATTTTATTGAAACAAACAATAAATTACACAAAATTATAATCAAATAACACAAAATTATCTCAAAAACAGTAAATGCAACAATTAGGGTTAACAAAAAGGAAATCATATATATGAAAATTAATACCTTTATAATGAAAGTTAGAAGCTAAGAAAATGTTTTAGGAAAAATTGAAAAGAATAATCTCACCTTTGCTTAACCTTCTGAAAACAGGCCAACCTTTGCATATTTTGGGGTTAAACCTACCTTCCACCCCTATTTTCTCAAAACAAGCACTTAACCGTTTTTAAAGTTGGTGACCTAATTTAAAAGGTGACATGCCAAGTGTCACCTTCTCATTGCTCCTTTTTATTTTTAATTTGTTAATAATTTAAAAAATTATTTAAAATTATTTTTATTTTTTTTTAAAACCACCCCCACCTATCAACCACCTCTCATTGACCCCGAAACCACATATACCCACCCCTACCACCACCGCCTCGCCCCCTTACCTTCAAAACTTACCCAAAAAACCACCTATCTTTGTGCTGTTCGGCGTGTGCGAGACTTACCCGCCGCATACCCTTTTCATCCGTTGCCCCCTCCACCAAAAAACCAACCCACTAGCCATGAATACCCCGCCCCTATAGAGCATCACCAACCCCAAAATGAACCCCACCACAAACCACCTCCCTACTGACTTCAAACCCAAAAAACTCAAAATGAAACCAAACCCGGAGATAAAATAACATAATGAAGCATCCATCTTTGTCTAAACTTAGGTTTAATTGAGCTGAGATGAAATAATATAAGTACCTATCAACTTAACACATAATTATCAGCAAAAGTAAACAATAACCCAAAATATCATAACATTTTCATTCATGCATTTCATCGAACAATTGGTGTGCAACACAAGTTATATAGTTCCCTGAGCTAAAAAAATCAAATATAATCATTCCGTAAATAACAACAATCTAAATCAATCCCAACTCAATTAATAGCAATAATCCCTAATTAGAAACCTAACTTATCGAAAATCGAAATTCGAGGAATAGGAAGTAGGTTTAGACAACATTGAAGACGGTGGTTTTTTGGGTGAAATGAAATGAGAGAGAGAGAGAGAGAGAGAGAGAGAGAGAGAGAGAGAGAGAGAGAGAGAGAGAGAGAGAGAGAGAAGGGAGGTGGGGGAAGGGGAGGGGGCGATGAGTTGGTGCCTGTTGGGGAGCCGGGAAGGAAAGGGGAAGAAGAAAGAAGATAGTTGTATTTTTTTACTTTATTTATTAAAATTTCCTTTTTTATTTATAGGTAAAAAGAGTTGTTTTGAGAAAATAGGGTTGAAAGGTGGGCTTATTACCAGATTACGCAAAGGTAGGTCGGCTTGTTTAGAGTGGATCGAGAAAAATTAAGATTATTTTTTTCAATTTTCCAATTTTTTTTTTATTAAAGATGAAAATAAGAGAAGAAATGCATAATTGAAGATGAAAGTAAGAGATCAAAAGAAAGAAATTTATACCACAATTGAAGATGAAAGAGAGGAAAATCTATACTGTATATTAAAAGGCGTTCCTTTTAAAGGAACGGTGCCATGTGGTACCATTCAAAGTATGTTTGCTATGTCACAATGCCACGTCATCATCCAAAGTATATGCCCCACGTAAGCTAGCCATTTCATTTAACAAAATAAAATATGATTTGAACAAGAATTCGAACCCATAACCTCCAATACATATAGGTAATAAATTTACCATCTCAACCAACTATTATTAATGTTTCAAGTTTCATATAATATTATACATTCCTTTCATTTATTAAGTAGAATAGAGGCCAGGTAATATAGTTCACTTATTTTTCACTAGATTAGAATATAAATACATATGATGTAAAATACGAAAAAAAAAGTGACATCCGATGTAACGCCTGAACCACTATACACACTAACTATACAAATAATTGAACATAATTGTTAAATTAAAGCAAGAAGTACACAAAATAGCAATGTGGAGCATCGCCCGAGACACACACTAGTTGAAGATGAAATCGCAAAAATTAAGGATGAAGAGAAAAGACACGTAATAATGATGAGAGAGGAAATGTGAATGTGTTTGAAAATTTTAAATTAGTATTACTATTACCAATTTGACTTATAATGAAATGAATTGGGGTGATTTATGTAGAATATAATTTGCTTGTTTGTTTTGTTTTGTGCTTTTTTTTTCAATATAAAAACCCTCTTAATTTCACTTATCTAAGTTGTGCCCCAACATATATTACTTTCTACACTGTAACCCCAAATACATTTTGTTTCCATAGGGTATGCGATAACCTTGCTGTAATCCCGCTGTTAATAAATTCCGTTAGAGGGGCCCACTTTCTATTAATTAATATTATTTTATCGATTTGCGCGTTAGAAAGTGTTCCGCTAAAGGTTTTGGGGGGCTATTTTAATCCTTTAGGATCCAAATTGAGCTCAGATTTGGCAAAAAAATAACGTAAATGCCTCATTTTACATATTAAAATATAAACACGCAAATCGAGACATTACTGAATAAGCAAAACAAGATATTTACGCTATTTTTTTGTCATATCTGAGATCAATTTGGACCCATAAGGGCCAAAATAGCCCCCAAAATCTTTAACTAAACATTTTCAAACGCGCAAATCGATAAAAAAATATTAATAAATGGAGAGTGAGCCCCACTAACGGAATTTATTAACGGTGGGATAACGACAAGGTTAGCGTATGGAAATAAAATGTGTTTGGGGTTACAGTGAAAGTGATATACTACCTCCGGTACGAGGAACTAGAAATGGAGGAAAGTTATGCATTTAGAAATGCATAACATTGGAAACGGGGTGGGTAAGTAACGGGGGGGCCCAAAAAAGCATTACGGGTTCAGAAGAATTGTGGAAAAAAAAGAGAATTGAAGGTATTTGTTAAAAGCGTATTATATGTTTATACGTATACGAAAAACACTTTTTGACTCTCTTTATGACTTCCTCACACTTAGGTTTTGTTCTTCGTTCCCATGGTTTGACTTCCCCATACTTTCCCCCCTCAACTCCTTCAAAATTTGAGAGTGAAATTCTGTATGAGTCCAAATGGCAAGGAAGATGTTAATATTGGATGATCCATTTTTACAAAATTGTATAGAGGTTGAATGTGGTTCAGTAGGGGGACATTGGGCAGCAGGGGAGAACGTTTTCGTTGCGGAGGAAGTCGAAGGTATTCCAGCAGAGGGAGTCGCTGATGTCGAAAATTTAGAGGAGGAAGTCGTTATTGTCGGTGGTTCAGAGGAGCAAGACGGTGCTGGCGAAGACGAAGCTCATGCTGCAGCAATTGAAGAATTGCTAAAGGAGGTAACTTTTTCGATTGTTCTATTATTATGTCGGTCGTCAGTATATCTATTTCGGTTCTTTGACTTGTGTATTTGGTGTGGGCATTAATTTCAAAATCTGTGGAGTTAGGGCTTGAAATTAAGGCTTGATTTTATGCACATTTGGGATTGATTTTAACGATGATTGGCATGTAAGCATGGAATTCTGAATTGTGGTGTTTTTGATTGTTTGTTGTTGGGGGATGGGTTATTTATTGATAGAATATTCTACTAAATATTTGTTAAGAATCAATCTGTTTGGGAATGTATGACTTGGGTGTTGTGATTGAATCATTAGTCTTTTATTAATCATTATTTTATGTCATTTATTGGTGATATATAATAATCATGGCAGTAATTATTATATTCACTTCATTTAATTATTTAAATGAATCTAGGTTTTAATTATTTTAATGAATCTAGGTGAATGTTGGGGAAGAGTCCTATAAAACTCCTACTAAAGGAAAGAGTAATGTGGACATTAGTGTGGAGGTTGAAGAGTTTGCGAATGTGGAGGTTTCACTTCCCCCTCCCACTGTGGGAATGGTGTTTGACAGTTGGCAAAAAATTGACGAGTATTTCAGGAATTATGGTAAGCAGGAAGGTTTTGGAGTAGTCCGGTCGTGTGGAGCAACAATAGGGAAAGGAGCGAATGCAAAGGATAAGAGGAACGTGACATGGACTTGTGAATGCTACGGTTTGCCAGGAAGGAAGAGGAAGAAAACCGGGTCTACATTTGTGAATGATTCTCAAATTTGTGAAGAAGTGTTGATAAAAAGGAAGAGCAAAAAAGTGGATTATGTTGTACAATTGAATGCCACCGTGAATAAGGACGGTGACTGGTTAATTAAGAGGGTGCATCTTGAACATGCCGGTCACAACCCTACTCTAAGCAAGTCCAAAAACATTACAAAGTTTAGGAAAAAGTTCCTCAATGATAATCCCCACTTGGTGCAACAATTGTTGAATGATCGGAGAGCTGGAGTTCCAGAAGCTCAGATTTTTAACTGTATGGCTCGACAAAGAAATGGTAGGGACAACATGCAATTCACACAGCAAGATCTTCACGAAGAAGTGGCGAAAAAAAGAAAGGAGCAATTTGAGGAGGGCGATACAAAGGCCATGTTTGCTTACTTTAAGCGAATGGTAGATGATAATTCTAATTTTTTCCACACGTATCGTGTTGATGAGTTGGGGCGTCTACAAGATGTGCTTTGGGTAGATGCAAGGATTCAGGTTGCCTACGAGGAATTTGGCGACGTAGTGGTTTTTGATTCTACATACCTTACGAACGAATACAAGTTACCATTTTGTAACTTTGTTGGGGTCAATCACCACGGGCAAACAATTTTGTTTGGATGTGCACTGGTATCCCGTGAGACTTCAGAAACTTTTGAGTGGGTTTTCTCAAACTGGCTGCGGTGTATGGGGGAGAAAAAACCCATTGGTATTCTCACTGATCAAGACCCGGCAATGAGGAAAGCGTTGAAGGTGACCATGAAGGAAAGCACTCATCGATGGTGCATTTGGCACATTACTAAAAAATTTGGCAAGAAATTGGGCAAGCTCCCTAATTATCCAGCTATGCATGAGGACCTCGAGAATGCAATTTATGACAGTCTAGATTCTGAAGAGTTTGAGAGTAATTGGCAAGCAGTGATCAAGAAACATGAATTAGAAGCTGATGAATGGCTAACAGGTTTGATCCTGTTTTTGTATTAAAGTCCTTGAATATTTAACAGGATTTGTATTACTGTTTAATGTATGTCCCCTCTTTTGTTTTGGCTATTATTAGATGACCTTTTTATTTGTAGGAGGAAGTTTTCTGTAAATGCCTTTTTATGGAGACCTTGTAATGGCTTGTGTGTGTTGTTGTTTGCTGTGTTATTGTCTTTGTTTTCTGTTCTGCCTGTACTTTTTTGTTTGTGGTTTGTGGTGTCTGTGTTCTGTTCTGTTGTGTTTGTGGGGTGTGTCCAATGTGGAGGACCTTCTGGTTTGAACAAGGCCCTACATACATTGTGATTAATTATAGTAAAATGTAATGGACAGGGTTGTATGAGGAGCGTCAGATGTGGGTTCCTGTATATCTGAAGCACTTGTTTTGGGCTGGCATGAAAACAACGCAGCGTGTTGAGAGTATTCATAGGTTTTTTTGATGGATACCTGAGCAAGAACACATTGTTGTCTGAGTTTGTTGAGCGGTATGTCGATGCCTTGGAGGTTAGATCTACTAGTGAGAAAAGGGCTGATGACAATAATGAGAGGTATGTTCGACAAGCATATAGTGACTTTCCAGCTGAATTGGTCTTCTAGAAAGTGTACACGGATGCCAAATTCAAGGAGGTGCAAAGAGAGTGCAGTCGCGTAATGTATGTGAGTGAGATTCGTAGAAACAAACTTTCTGATGACTTGACTGAACACATTGTTGAAGATCGAGTTTGGTATAAACCCAAAAACTGTAGGAAGGAGAAACCTTCGAAGAGGAAGAGGGAGTATAAGCTTCTTTATGATAGTTCAAGTAAAGAAGTTTCGTGTGGTTGTAGGATGTTTGATTGTGCTGGCATCATCTGTCGCCACATGATAAAGGTGTACGAGATGAGTAATTGCTATGAAATCCCTGATAAATACATCTTAAGGAGGTGGAGGAAAGACGTCATAAGAAAGCACACATGGGTCAAGGTTTGTTACCATGACCCTAACAAAACAGCAGAGGTATGTAGGTTTGATAAAATGATGGTCAGGTTTGGTTCGTTGTGTTCCAAGGCATCGACATTTCTTGAATCTACTACACTGGTCATGCAAGCATTGCAGCTTCTGGAACTGCAAGTGGATGAGAAGATTGCAGTGGTTAGTAAGAAGGGGTTAGTTGGTACACCCTCGTCTGTTTGCAGGGAAAAAGGAAATGATACTACACCTTCGACGCAAAGACAAGGTAGTTGTGACCCCCAAAATGGTGTAGAGGAAGATCCTCCGGTAATACCTAAAGATCCTCCACTACCTTAGAGGCCTGCTCATTGCACCACTGATTCAAGGTATAAGTCGTGCCTTGAGAAACCAAGAAAGACAGCCAAAAAGTCTAAGACCACGGAAGCAAAAAAGAAAGCAGGTGCACAGGTACCCTTTGGTACTCCAAGTTCAGCAACCACGCTAAAGGTAATTTGTTTTGACTTTGTTGTTATTATTTTTCCATGTTTGTGGAATTAAAAATATTACTTTAATTATGCCATGATATGTATGCAGGCAACTCAGTCGAATATGTTTCCGCACCACCCTCATTATCAATACAGCCCACATTCTGCTGGAGGTATTCAAATGGTGGATATGGATGGTTCAATTAGGTACTTTACCTCTGTTGGTGGCAGTGTTAAGCAATTTCATGGTTCCCAGATTTCTTCCAAGGGTGGCTACTTTCCTTATTCTAATTTTCCAGTTGCCAATGCTCCTTATCCGATCCCCGTCTGTGGGTGGAGAAGCCCCGTGTCCCCCGCATCAGCTGCATCTAGGCAAGGAGGGTTCGTTCCAATACTGCCACGTCCTAGGCCTCCCGCTACTCCACCACCAACTCCTGGTGCATCATGTAGGAGTTAGGATCAGTTGTGTAGTCTGTTGTATTCAGTGATAATGCCATACTTCTGAATCTGACAAATGTAACCAAATTTGGGCCTTTCTTTTTGATACTGAACCCACGATTGTAAAATGTTTGAATCAAATTTGGGCCTACCTTTTTGACACTGAAAAATGTAACCAAATTTGGGCCTTCCTTTTGGTTTCTAAATGAATGTGATGTACTATTTAGTTTTAATTTAATTGATAGTCTTTTACATCAAAGCATGTGGTACCACTAAGCGCATAAAAGTGGGTATGGTGGGATCCAGTGGATATCAAAGGGTACCACTTAAAGAGTTACAGGGTACCACTGAACAAATTAAAGGGTACCACTGATCACATAGTAGACATCAAAGGATACCACTGAACATTTGAAACGGTACCGCTGAACATATGAAAGGGTTTAGGGGTTTAGAAATGAAAAGGGAGGGAATTAGTAGAAAGCTAGTGTTAAAGTTTTCTTTGTTGCCGATTCCAAATGTCTAGTTTGTTTCGTGTGTTTTTTTGACTCCCGTTTATTTTCTTCCCCGTGTTTTTGTTTAATGCTCCTAGTGGTAATGATGTTGTAATGTGTTTTGGTATTCGTAACATAATTATGAATACGGTGTTTTTTCATTTCTATCTACACGACCGATTCCGGTAATTCATTTCTCGAGCCCTATGGTATTGCAATTGTATACTTCATAGTTTAATCATTATAATTGTGGTTGTTACTACAAATTGAACCTATAGCCTTTAACTTCGTTGAGTTTAAAGTTTTAACTACGTACATATGCAAAATTGGAAAAAAATGGCCAAGTACAATTCTAGGGTACCACCAAACGGGTAAAGGGCACCACTCATATTAGCAAACACCTACTATCTATACCAAAGGTAACACTGACATAAATTTCCTTCTCTAGGGTACCATCTACGTACCGAAGGGTACCATTAAGGTAGTACAATAGCTACTTTGTGGACTTAGTTGAATTAAACCAAAACTAAATGGGATAAAATGATCATCTTACTAATCAAGCCCTCTATGACTCAATATGCATTTGCACCTTCATTGTATTTGATTTAAGTTAAGGTACCCTTCATTTTTTATTGCACATTAAAGAGGTTATCATCAATATGATCGGTATGGGGTTGTAAAGGATAAATACTTTACAACAATGTCATGTGTGCGTAGTACAAGGGAAAACTATTGTAATTTTATTGTGGGTTATTGACAGTTACATATCGTGCTTAAGTGACCAATTGAATTGTTTCTCTTTATTAACGTGCAAGTGATGATGCGAAATTGGTATATGATGTACTAACCAGTTGCCATTATTTAGTGTCAATTAATTTCGGTGTTAGTCATAAATTAGTGCCATTCACATTAAACACATTATTCATTCACTAATCATGCAAATTGACTTGTAGTTCAACTTTTTATATTATATGTGACATCCACTTTTAATATACTACCACTGAAGCAAAGCAGGGTATCATTATGTACATCATTCCACCTCAACATGTACATTAAATAATGAAGATGGAATTTGTTAAATTCCACTTAAAAATGTAAGTGTCCGATTGAACTTTATATTTAGTCGTTGTGACGTGGCAAAGGGTTTGATTCCCTTTGTTAGTTCAAATTTTAAACTTTCATAAGGACGGGATTTAGTGATGGGCTTTCCGCCAAAATCAATGATATCCAAAGGCCTATAAATAGTGCATCCTGTCAAAGAAATTTAAAGAAAAAACCGAACAAAAGGTTATAGCGTATCCCCAGAGGGTTTAGAAATATACACTTCACGAATCTTCACAAATCTTAACTATGAGTTCTAATTCAACATCTGTTTTTAGGGGAAGCAGATTTCACAACTCCAGCATTGACATAATTTGGGTTGCTGGGAAGAGATGCAATTGTGGAGGGGATGTGTTAGCTGAATTTCAAATTTCCCTTTCCGAAGCTAACCCCAGGAGGCCCTACTACAAATGTAGATCTTGCAATTTCTAGCAATGGGCACGGGATGAAGATCTCATTCGGAGTGTCAACAACAGTGGATTTGACAATTTATGTCATAGGGTTGATGTATTGGAGCAATTGTTGGTCAAAATTGTAAAGCTTTCTCTCACTATTTTGGTGGTTGGCCTTGTCATGTACTTTAAGGGTTGACATAATTGTATCCCTTTCAATTATCAATCATCCAAAAAATTAAGGGTGTAAAATATTAGCCTTGTATCCCTTTCACTTATCAATGTAAAAAAATATGAATTAGAAGTAACTTCGAATCCTATGAATGCGTGGTTGATTAATTAATTTCAGTAGATAATGCTCATAGTGAATGTCAATTTAAGCAAGTAACTACCTTGTATTTACTAGTTTGTTTTGATGACATATATTGTATTGGGGTTCCCTTAGAACCAACCATGGTTCCTCTATTAATGTATTGGAATAATAAATACGTTTAGTGGAATTAAAACTACAAATTAGTTTTCTGTGACTAACATATCAATGGAAGGAGGAATTACAACATCTTTTCTGATAGTGGTAGCCTCAATTTAGGTTATGGTTCCCTTATTAACATAAAATCCTTTCTCTTATGTTGTAGTGGAAGCCTAACTAGTTCCACTGGTACTGTAACCAAACTGTAAATGTATCAGAAGTGCAGGTGTAGAAGTATACATATGTTTGTAACTTTCCTAACAAGGGGGTTGCTGAAGTTTAAAATATCCTACATGTTTGTAATCGTACCTAATTAAAACCTTTTTTGTGGCTATTGGTTAGATATATGGTTCATCCATACTTACACCCCCTTTGATATTTGTTTCAACCATACTTATACCCCCAGAATATCTAGTGGTACCCTAACAAAAGTTAATGTTACCCTATTTTCTTATAATTGGACCTAGCTATTATGTAGTGGTACCCTGAAATTATTTCATGAATCCCATTATTTTGACAGTAGTATATCATTTCTAGTTGGCAGAACCTTTACTATTGTAATGGTAATCAACGTTTGGAGTCCCATGAATAAAGGGATACTAACCTACACATTTTAGCTGCTACACATCAAGGCTCATTTGCCTACACAAAAAAGCCAAAGTTGGCTCACCTAAAGGCCAGGTTTAAAGGCTAGTTATCCAATTTACTTAGCTTGTTTCACTTAATCGTGGCTCATTTGCCTACACCAAAAAGCCAAAGTTGGCTTACCCAAAGTTGGCTCACCTAAAGGCAAGGTTTAAAGGTTTAAAGGCTAGTGATTGGATAAATCCATTGCTACATATCTCCCATCCACTTACTTAGCTTGTTTCACTTAATCGTGTCAATCGCCAAAAGTAACGGCAATGAAAACCCTACAACTGTGCCTTGTATGTGTTTAGGCAAGTGGGTTCACATAAAATACTCTTAATGTGACCTATTGTCACAGGGTATGCATAAAGAAGGACAAAGACTAAAAATAGAGCCATAGAGTATGTGTAGAATGTAAGGAACTTATTTCTAATCATGTGAATTGATGTAGTGGTACCCTATATTTTATAAGTGGTACCCTAAATACATTTAGTTAGATATTTTGAAGTGCAATAGTGGTACCCTTTAGTTCAATAGTGGTTTCCTTAAAGGATTAAATGGTAGTTGTTAATTGACTATCAAATGAACACTATAGTAGTAAAATGGTTGTCAGGAATTGGTGGCGGGAGTTTTAATCAATATGGCACTAGCGCCCTTACTAGCA